GGGGGGGGGGGGGGGGGGGGGGGGGGGGGGGGGGGGGGGGGGGGGGAGAGCAGCTCAAGAGCCTAGCTGTATTGTGAAAAAGTTCCATACGGTACCACGCTGCAGGAGACGAATATACGTAGTCACCCTGGTATAGGACGAGGTCTCAAAACACATGAGCGATTGGGATAATTATTGCAGCACCGTTCACCTATGCTAATTTTTGTGCCTGCGGCAAGTACAGAAAGCACGTATCGACGTGTATCGTGATTATCAGATGCGGTATCTAGACTCCAACGGTCATCCAACACAGCGGTTCTCCGGTCAAGCACGCAACAAAATCTTGGCCCGCTAAGAACAGCAGCGCCTGGCAAGGGTCGGAAAAATTTCGACACAGCAGATGAAACAAACAAAACGCTATGTACGTACCAGGTGTTCCTCTTGCACAACTACCATGGTATGAATGTATTGCTGTAGAAGTGAGACGGCACCGGGAGCTACAATATCGTTTTTTTTTTAGTTTTTTCTTTTGCGTTTTAATCGCGCCCCGGTGCGATCTCTCCGACCTGTGCCATCTCTTCGACTCTTACGATAATCCATTCCATTTCAGGACACTTTTACCTGTACAAGAAAGGAAGTTGTGTCTCTGTAGAACAGAAAAAAAATCGACCAAAAGATGTACCCCTACACAAGAGAAAACCGAGGACCCACCGACATTGTCCGTGCCACCACCGCCTCGGGCTCCTCCTCCCCCTCCTCCTCTTCCACCTTCTTCTCCTCCTTCTCTTCCCCAGTCTTGTCCTCCTCGTCCTCCTTCACTTCGTCCTTCCTCGTCTCCTCCTTCAACTCCACGGCCTCCTCCTCCACGGCCTCCTCCGGCGCCGCTCTAGGAGTGTCCGCGACCGGCTCCGCAGGCTCCTCCGATTTCGTTTCCTCCGCCCCGCCCGGCGCGGCAGCACGGGTCGTCACCGACACCGACACGCCACCGCCGCTATCATCGCCGAAGGTGGCCACGGAGCCCGCGGGGGGTGCTGATGCGGTCGGCTTTGATGACACCGCACCACCGTCTTCCTTCTCCTTAGGCTGCTGCAGGTGCTGCTGGTGCTGCTGATGTTTGACATCGGCGGCTTGCTTTGTCGACGCCCCTGCTGCTGCTGCCGCCGCGGCGGCACGCGGGGGCGCAGAAAGCCTGCGCTTCGTGGACGCCCGGTCGCGGAAAATCGGGCGCGATGAGCGCCTGTTGCCGCTGGCTGCCGCATCGGTTGCATTGCCCTGGTTCGTTTGTTTTCGACCAGGATACAAAATAAAATAAAATAGCAAGGTCAGGCAAAAGGGTATTGTGAAGTCAACGAGATGGGTCAAACTGTGATGGCACGTGCGCATGCAAGACGCACGAGAAATTGAGGTGGTACTGCTGTATTTAGGATATTTGTTCTGCGGCCACAAACAAAACAGAAGTTTGCGCAAGCGGACCCAACAAAGAGCAGACCCACTATTTAGTAGAGTTTAGTCTACTGCTGTAGGTAGCGCAGCACATGTTCGTTTCATGGAGAACGAAACAAACCAGAACCCAACGGCGAGTCCTAAAAAGAAGCGATTTGCTACGGGGTACGCTACCATACAGCAGTAGCAAAGGGGGAGTGGAACGAGGGAGGCAACTGCTGTTCTTGGAAGCATAGGAACGACCCACTCTAGCCAGAGGCCGCTGAAAGCCGAAGCTCGAGCCTAGCATCACACGGAGAACAACCGCTGTTGTGCGACACTACGTATCTCCTTCCGGAGTTGCCCTCGCAACGCAAGCACCAAAGTGATTACTGCATTTGCAACATTGCACTCCGCCCCGCTACCGCTGCTGGAAACGATCTCCCTCAAGTTTGTCCGAGTTATTGGGGGCTCCTGCAGCTTGCTTTCTGGCTGGAGGTGTCGCTTACATGAATGAATGGAAGCGTCAAGCTCTGCGGCCTTACTCATGATAGTCTTGCCCAGGCTGCAGCATACGTTTTCCTCGGTGGCGGCATGGGTGGGTACGGATGCGTACTCATGTCGAGTCGACGACACTGCCGCTATTGAGTGCATGAGGTAAGGTGGCAACAGCTGTGCCAAACCGGGGGACTAGCGGTGCTGAAGGCACTAGCACACGAAACGGAACTTTCGTTTCCACCACTGGTGCCCGCAGCGGAATACATAGGAAGCAACACATGCCACTTTCGCCGCTAGGGGCACAACCGCGTGATGGAGCACGAATAAAAGCCCAGCACTCAGCCGGTTTCCCTCGACTCACCGCAAAGACTCCAACACACGCCCTTCGACTCTGGCTACGTATCTCTCGAACGGGTATATGGTCTTTCTGTGCATGATTTTTTCATATGCATAAAATAGAATGTACCCGTCCGGCACTACGGACAACGACCCTTTGCTTGCCGCGTATGCATATTCATGGTAGTGTTCGTTGGTGTACTGCATGCCTGGTAGAAGTACAAGATTTAAACTTGCCCCACCATAGTAGTCTAGACTTACAGCAAGATCTAAATCTCAGCAGCAAGATGACTACTCACGTTGACACCACGGGATACCGCGGGCGTCGCCGACGATTTCTTGGTGCGGAAACGACCCAGGAAGTCACCCGCAGACATACTGCTCGACAGCGCCTTGGCGAAAGTTCCACGCCTCTTTCTCTGGCCGGCGCCCCGGTCAGACATAGCGACGCTGACAACCTCAACGCCCTCTGCCCTCTGGGCTGCCGCTGCCGCTGCTGTTGTGGTGGTGGCGCTAACCGTTGCCGCTCGATCACTCTCACCCTCGTGGGTACCCGCGACCCCCGAGGCGGCCTTCAGGCTGACGCTCCTTCGGGCCTGGGGGGAAGATGGTGACGGAGCATCATCTACTGTTGGATCAAAAGGTGGAACAGGTGAAAGCACGCGCTGCTGCTGTTGCTGCTGCTGTTGCTTTTGCTGCTGCTGGGGTCGTTCTTCTTCGCCTATGCCAACATCGGTGACGGGGGGGAGTGGTTGGCCCTTCGCTGCTGTGGCCTGCTGGGCGGACGGCGTCATCGTGGTGGTGGTCCCCTCCTTTTGTTGCTGCTGCTGGTCGGCACCACCAGCGGGAGTCACCGCCGCCGCGGTCTCCACCCCTCGTGGTTGGTCAGAGGAAGGGTCTGCCGTGGATAATGGTGATGATCTTGCCGCCGCCGACCGAGTCACACCGCCATTGGCCACCACTTGGAAACCGCTTCCGCCGTCGCCGCCGCCGTTGCCCTGCTCTCCAGGGGCATCCAGCACCGCCGAGATCGCCGACACCACCGACGGCTCGCCTGCGGGCGGCGGCATTGCTGCCGCCGAAGACGGCGAGAATCTCGCAGCGGCTTGTTGCGAAGAGGTGGGCGTCCCTAGCGGAGCTCCTCCGCCTGGCGCCGACCGGAAGCTGGCAGCGATGGACGCAACGGTCGAAGCCGGAGCCATCCCAAGGTCGGTAAACTTACCGGTTGAGTAGCCCGCAGAGCTTCTCGGAGTGGCGGCTCCCCTCTCGTCAGCTTGCAGGGCCGCCGACAGCGACTCCTGCGAAGCAATCCTCCTCCTCTCCCTGGACCCTCGGCGAGATGAGTACGGAGAGGTGTAGGCGAGAGCCACCGAAGGAGGGCTGTGGACCGGACGAGGGGGGGGTGTGGACCGCGCCGCCAGAGTCGGGAAGACACCGGATGACTCTTTCTCGTCATTACTCTCCGCTTGTCCGAAGAGCTGCTTGAAGTGGAAGGATGGCGGGCGACCAGGGGTGAAGTTCACCACAGGGCCGGCACGGGCCCGCGTGGGAGTCATCGTAGCTGTCGGCCGTGCGTCCCTGTGTACAGTCGAATCTCCACCCTGTGTTTTGAATTCTTCGATGGTGTCGGGTGCAGGGCTCGTCGATTCCAGGGACGGCTTCAGAGACGGGTGCCCCAGCGCGAGCTCGACATCACCGCTCCCCACTTGAAGTCCCACTGGTGAATCCTGTTCCGAATCACCCTCAACACCACTCCCGCTGGCATCAGACTCCTTTCCAGGAACGACCTTCACGACAGACATGTTGCGCTGGTGGTGGTAATGTCCAGCGCGGCGGAGGTAGCTGTTGGATTTTACACAGAGAGCACTGCTGCTCATGTACTTGCAGCAGTGGAGGCGACAATGGAGGGAGAGGTACGAAACTTTTAAACACGTGCCTTGTGGCAGATATCCCAGGCCGGTTCGCCAAAGATGGTGAAGGTACTCTTGCTAGCTCTCGGTGGAAAAGGGTGGAGTATAGCTATGTAGGTGATGATGATGTGTTACTGTCGGCCCAACGTGCCAACGCATTTGCCAGGCAAATCGCCGGACAACGGAACAAAAAATTCCAAGAAAATGGATCTTCCTGATGTTGAAAAAAATGGGGGCTTCGCGATGGTACGGACGGCACGTACCCTGGGCATGTTGTAGCATGAAACGGTCATCATGTGTTCTCGAGGCGCGACAGCAGTGTCGCGCCGCGAGGGAAGCTTTAAACCGCCTGAGGACGGGGAGGTGGCGTGCGGACAGCATTCCTTAAGAGGATGGTAGTCATCATGGGGAAGGAAGATGCTCGAGAGTCGGTGTTGCTAGGCTCTCGTACGGCCACGCGTGATGACGCGCTAACGCTCGGGCCTGAGCAATCCCACCGCATTATTGCCGTGCTCGAGGAAGCGGCCGAAAAACTGGGCTTCCTAGGGAGCATCATGCCCGATGTACTGCAGCATAGGGACGAGCTGAGCAAGTTCGTTGGAGACGAGATATCGCGCATCATTCAGGTGCAAATTGTTGTAACTGGATTCACCTCGTCAACCTCGATTTGTACGTACGTACCGCAGTAGTCGTCGTCTGATTTGCCGATGATGCTGCGGGGGAGGTACGACCACACACGCACCACGGACGGTGCCGCTACAATAGCAGCGTGTGATAAAGGCATGGAGCTCGACGAATGCCCGAAGATCTGGCATCTTCTGTATTGGCAAAATTCTTATCAACCTTGAGTCGGAGCAGTAGTCTGCTACCCCATGCGGGCCCGTTGCTTCATTTCCCCTTTGCTGGGTGGGTCATCATTTCCAGTCACGCCAGTCTCGATATCCACCTCTCTCCGGAGTTGACTACTGCTGTGTTGTTGTTGTTGTCTTCACATTACAAACCGTTCCGATCTATCTCTACCCAGTACCTTCGTGTGCCCGAACTGATCGTATCCTGTATACTAGGTATGGGGGCGTAATGAGCCGCGTGGTGTGACTCAATACCTTGCAGTAGTCTTATCTGCGATGCTGATGGTGCACGAATCCCGACACACACCACAGCGTGAATCGTTTGTGGTGCGGCTACGCGTGCACCACAGAGGGACAGCAGGCGTGCGACGGGAGCGACGATGATCGTATGTGCGGTCACCGTTCAAAATTTTGCATTTTGCTTGCTGTTGTCTCGTTCCGTTTTCATGCACATGCACGAAGAAACAAAATGTCAAGTCTTCCCGCTGTGCGGACGCAGAGGCACACATGCGGCATCCCCCTGGCGGCGAGCGTACCACAAAACACACCGTTGTGGAGCACGACCAGCAGCGTAGACAAAGGATTGTGACACGACAGACGGCAAACACTGCGTCAGGCCCACAACTTGCCCGCCACACTCGTCTCAAGCCTTGCGAGTTTCCCGCTCAAGTGAAAGCAAGCAGTCCAGCATGAACCAATATCAACAACAGGCCGTTGATGGTCATGTGACGTCATGGCTTTGATTCGAGAGACCGAGAGGCCATGCTGCAGCCCTGCAGCAGCAACAACAGCATACAGGGCACGGCTTTCTTTGCGAAGACAGTCAGTACCACGGCGTACGTACGCAATCTGAACCGATCCCTCGGGGAACCATCCTGATAACGCACAGCAGTAGCAGTGGTATAGCCTCTCGCCCTCGACGGATTCTCTCGATGACGGTAGGTGTGATCTGGACTTGTGGGTAGGTGTGTTATTTGCGTGATCATCGGTCTGCTCTTTTTGAAGCAGTCTGTTGGACTTACTCAACATCAATACACACCCGCCAGGTTACACATGGCGCATGCCTACAGTATACCCACGGTAAACAGATCGTATAGGCCCGGCCCCTCCTGGTTTTCATAGGTGGTCTCAGACCAGCGTCTCAGCGGTGATGCGTTGTTGGTGCCGTTCTTGCGTCTATGTCGGTGTTTCTTGTCCTAGATTGAATCGCGCGCGCACGCGATCTCCGCTTTTGTGCACGCCTTGTCGCGTAGAAACCCCGGGGTTGGGGAGCAATACCTCCTGCGAATATTGGCTACATATGCCGGTGAAGCACGGCCATCTGCTCTCGGAGCACGACGAAACCGGTGTGGAGAAGATCGCGCTATTTTTCTTCTTCCTCAGAAGCGAACAGATTGTCAATCGGTGACCAATAGATCTCGTTCTGGTCCCAAAGGCGTGCTAAATAGGCTTCCCCGTAATCAAGTTTTGGGGCCCCTGTATCGCGCGGCGCAACTTTGGCCGATGTATAGAGCCTTTGTTTCCCCCCGGGAACGAAGGAAAAAATATCGCTCGCTTCGCTCGCTCCGCGGCTCATTACAAGTTGATTGGAACTAATTAATGTGTTTAGTGGGTAATGGTTGATGTCTTGCGATGAAGAGGGACCCCTACAACAAATTTCAAGTTGAGAATGGTTGAGGTACTGTTCGTTCGACCTTTTCGAAATAGTAAACTGACGGGGACATGGTGTATTTAGAATAATAACTCTCAACACTACACCCGACAGCAGCAGCAGTACTTTTTCATGGTGACCATTCTTGATATCTCTTCCTAGTGCCGAGTGTAGGCGTACTCCACTTGATTCTGAACTCTGCCACACCAAAAAACATCACGCTGACCGCGCAACAACAGGAACAACGTCAGCTTGAGGCCAGATATGAGAAGCTCATCGCTCAAAGGAGCACACTGAAAGGGCTAGCCAACAAATCCCGCTACAAGGAGGTGAAGTCAAAGGAAGCATGCACACGGACGCAGGGCACGTCTTACTGCTCTTGAGCTCTTTGGGCAGCGTTTTTCTAACGTCTCGAGGCACGGGCAATCGTGGACCACCATGTAATCGTCTCGGGGGTGTTGCTGTATTATCGCGATGAAGTCATGTCCTTCTTCGCCCTCTTGGCCCTCTTGGACACTGTGAGTTTCACGACTACTGCAAACCCGTTGTAACCGCACCACCCGTTGAAATATTCGGTGGCTTCGAGGTTGGTGTATCTACAATAGCCCATATCACACTGTTCTTCTCGCTCGCCCAAACATCTGCTACAACTTTCCCAACCAGATGTTGACTAGATTGGATGGGGATGTATTCATTCTCCACACAGCTTTCGCCAATGCCCGCCGGAGAAAAGTCATGGACCATTTTGACTGGCTACTCTTGTCGTGTTGTCGTGTTCTTGTCAGATCCAAGCAGACATTCAAGAGGTCAGCTTAGCTCTCCGAGAATCCACGAAAAATCTCTGCCGCAACCTGAGAGATAACCCCAACATCAGCGGAAACTTATTGAAGATCCAGAGGGAGAGGACGGAGCTCATCGACCTCCTCACCGACTCGTGTCGACAGATCGGAGAGGTATGCCGTAAGCTGGATCGAAGAAGAGACAGCCCACAATCACAAGTTCCTGTAGCTCCACACAAACATTCATGCCGCTGTACACGACGCCGGGTTGTAGCTCTTCGTCGTCGCTACAGTACTTCGTGGATGTTGGTCACCCATTGCTGGTTCTCTTGGTAAAAGCTCAAACAACAACGGCAACAACCACACCCGTAGTTGGGACAAGTTCTGTCAAGAATGAAAGGGTTTTATTGCCTTGAAAATAGTGCAGCAACACGGCAAAATCAAGTGACAACAAGATAAGAACTATCCCATTGTGCGCGGAAAGAGAAATCTCCGAATGTCAGCCCCCAATCGTACTGTCTGCATGACTCCTTGAAATGGGTCACGTTTTGCGGAATGTGGCTTTTTCTTGAGCTGTGTGGTTTTTTCCCCACGGTGGTGAGAAGTCAGGTGGGCGAAATATGTCTCAGGGGGCACAGACAAGACAAGACAGGCTCAGACATTGAACGAGAATTTGACGGAAGCAGAGGAATAAGAGGAAGAACGCTGTTTCTACGGCAAATCCAGCTGGATGCGGGAAATCCACAAAAATAGTATTGGAAGTGAAACATTCTTGGCCTGACGAGATTCATCAGAGAACCTGGTCTTGGATCCTAAGCAAGAAGTCGAACCTCGACCCCAGATGGAAGTTTGAGCTGTGGGCTATTGCAACAGGCTACATAAATTACACCATATTGCAATTCGTTTTGCCACGTGGGGCTTGTCGATTCGGAAGGACGCAACTTTGTGACCCCGCGTAAAAACAGTCATAGATGTTCCGCTTTTCGAACACATTGCCCTAACAGACTCGATCGTTCCAGGCGCTAGTCAGCGTGGTCGAAGACAGCCGTCTAGCGCAGAGCCAGCAGAGCGAGCTGGTGAGGCGGGAGAAAGAAGCCACGCAAGCTGTCAAGAAGCTCGAGGCGGATCTGTTTGCCGAAAGGGCCGACCACTCAAGACAGGTGACAACCTACCTCAACTCAGGTCTTGATTCATCACAGTCTAGAACGAACGTGGGGGATTCGGAACTGTGTCGCGACCCGGAGTTGCGGCAGCACCCGTAACGGAGCACTTTGTTTGCTCAGGCCTTTTCGTCGCACCGATTGTCCCCTCCTGCCTGTGGTGGGCGCTTTCGGGCCAAGTGTAGGTCGAAGAACAAGAAAAATGAACAGAGAGTAGGCGGCAACACGATCAAGGATGGTGTTCAAGCATGTTGGTAGCAGTATCGAAGATGTTGCTGGGAGATTTCACGACTTACCCGACTTCGAGGAGGGTGGGCAACTCGGCTGTGCCTACGTGTTCAAAGAGATATACTAACATCTCCTGCCGTGTATTCCTAACTCGATGCGGTCAAACCCGATAGGTCACGGAGAATAAGACGACAATGGTCGACCTCAAACAGACGCTGCTCAAGGTCAAGTCGAAAACGAGTGTTGATGTGAAGTACAGCCGGAAAGAGCACAGCGCTCGCGTGTCGAGCTTGCTGCGCGTGTACGAGCAGTACGAGCGACAGCTCGAGGGAAAGGTGAGGCACCGCCATCGAATGATAGATGAGTAGTTGGCGATGGTGAAGCACGCATCCAGACACGCATCCAGACACATTGTTTTCATTCAGTGTCTGGGGCATGACCAGCATGGCGGTACCTTGCATGAGGGCCAAATTAGCGTGATATGCGGAGTTGTAAATGTACCAAATTGGTCGTGTGTGAACAGCGCATTCATGAACGAGATGCCAACCAAAATGCTAGTGATGCAGCAAAGTATTTCATCCTGTTGCTATCTCGGCCTTGGAATCGAACTAGGTCAAGGAAATGGAAAGGCTGAAAGAGGTGGAGGCAGCCGTGAATGTGCAGACCATGGAGTTTCTGGAGAAGAAGAGGAATCAGTTGCAGGACGAGGTTGATGCCTGGGAAGAAAGGCGAGCAGCAACAGCGGTGGAAGCAGCAACAGCAACAACAGTTTTGCGTAGCGCTGGTTGGCCAGACAGTGGCAAATGACATTCATGACATCTTTGGAGGTGGAGCGTCTTTTTTTTTCCCAATCTGTGGAACAAACGTTCTTGCTGCAACAAACCGGTTACAGGAAGCATTTCGTAGTGTATCTTAAATGATTTGCTTTAGGTACGTGTGTTACACAATTTTGCAAACCTGCGACGGAAGGTGGCAGAGACGCAGATGAAACCGAGCGTTGAGAAACCAGATACGCAACCGTCAGGGGGGCCAAGCAATGCATGTATGCTGCCTTCTTCATGCTGATGAAGGCAACGACAACTGCACGTGGCGTGATCTACGTCTGCTTGCGAACGTGTCCGCGCAGATACGTGGAGGAAGTAGGAGAGCTAGAGAGGATATGTGATGATCTCACGAACGAAAGGAACGAAATGCTGATCAAGCTGGAGGGGTTGAAAAGACGGAAGCAGATGGAGACAGAGGTGAGGGGGGGAGCGTGCGGATCGGCTAACATATAATCGAGTGTGCGTGCCTCCCATGGCGACGCGCCGGACGCACGGTGCTCGCGGAAACCAAGAAACTGCCTGGGCAGCAAGAGTTTGCCGGTCGGTACTCACTTTCTTAGCTGCTTTTTTTCACAAGAGTGAAAGAGAGCTTCAACATGACCACTCTGTACCAGCGGAAATGCTGGAAGGTGAGGGCTGCCTGCGCTGTCATCGGCCTTCAACATATAGACTACATGTTCAATGTTCGCGAAGATGTACAGAAACATGTGCTGTTGCGGCGGGCACAACCCATTCCGTTCTTTTTCATGGCATGCTATGCCATACCATGCCATGCCATGGCCCTTACTTCGTCCAAAACATGGAATACCTCCCTACGGAAGAGCAAGTTCGGCGAATAAGACGTGATGGCGACGAAACAAAAACAAGAGCCGAAAAAACAGAAGAACTCTGGCGTCATGTTGTTCTCTCGCCGACACCTTTTTCTGCACCTTCTACCTTGCGGCCAGTGGCCATATTGTTTTGCACCATATTCACGCCTACTGGTTCCCCCGACCGACGTTTCGTCCTTCTCAGGAAAAGCAAGCGCGAGAGGACGCGAAGGCGTTGGCGGTGTTGGAGGAGCAAGCCAGGACGGAGCTGGAGAGAAGGCAGAACCAGGCCGCTACTCAGATCCAGCGGGTCATGAAGGAGTACGTGTTGCGGCAGATCGCCAACAAGAGCAAGAAGGGGAAGAAGGGGAAGGGGGGAGCGAAGGGCAAAGGTGGAAAGAAGGGCAAGAAATAGTCGGAGTGGGAAGAAAACGAATCCTCTTGAAGCTGGTAGCATTTCGTTTTTGCTGTCTTTGGCCGCTCGGCTCACGATCATCTGAGCTTCTACGCGACGAACAACAGTAGAGGAAGGAGGTGCCGCCGCCACAATGGTGAGGGTTATAAATCCAGTCGTTTCGAGGGAGTTGCTAGCTTGTGTAAAGCTCGTTTCTTTCCACGTTTCTCTGATTAAGTTTGTATCCGATCGGTTTGTGGTTTGCACATTGGAGGTCCCCCAATATCCCAAGTCTGTCATCGTGTAGCGAAGAGCGAGAAACGTTTTGGGAGAAGGGTTGGGACGACTTCGACGACCACTTTCCATGTATTCGATTTTACAACGTATGGTAGGTGAGCCCTTTGTGTACATATGCTGATATACCTTGAACCAAGTGGCATGCGATGTTTGACTGGAGACGCGCGCTTTTTCTGGATAAATGATAGATTGTTAATTTTCTCATTAAGAGGGGTGATATGTGTTTTTCCGTCCTTGATGTGGGCTAGCCGGCAACCACGGGAAATTGTTTTAATGATGAAGCGTGCGGGGAAGGAGATATGGAATAGAGGCCCGGACGTGTTTGTATATGAAAATGCAACAACATTACCAGACGACGGTGTGTGCTCCTCCGTGATCAAAGTACTTCACCATTGTGGGTGTTTTGTTGGCGTTTGGGTTGACGATGAAAACTCGAATCAAGTTAACTTTGCCATCCCAAGCTAGCAGGTGTGTAGGGCACACGGCTATATCGCGGTACTTTCACTTTTTAGCAAGGCGGGCACAGGAATAGGGTACACGCAGAAATAGTTGCAAATGGCAAGCGAGCAGCAGTTTGGTCCGCCAGAAGCGTACTTACAAAATACGGATAATGCTACTCATGTGTCACGCCTAGACGTTGTGGAACTGCTGCACGACTATGTACCAAAGCCTTCTCATCTCGTTTGCATCTAGCGAAGGCAAGCAACGTGTATCAGCAGCTATGCGAGGGTGTTCTCGGGAAATACACGGATGGATGCCTAATATTAACGGTGTGCGTCTCAAGCTCTGGTCTACCCAGAAACGGTTTTACTTGAAGAGGTTTCGGGCATTGGCGTATCAACCAGAAGTAAGTTCGACGCCCACACCCCATGGGAGCGCCACAAGGCTTGAGGACTACCTTCTCAAGCATGGTGCGCGAGAACAAGGAGTATCTACGTACTTGGGTTCCTGGAGGTGGTGTCGTGGGTCTGGCGGAGATTATTTTGTTGGTCTTGCGGATGCATACGTATGATGACCGTGGTTTGGCGTACTGCTGTAGTTCTCTCGGCCACACCAATGGTCGCCCCGTTGGTCTAGTTGGTAACCTCCAAACCTCTTAGAGGTCAGGTCAGGGGTTCGAATCCCGGCGTAAGCGAGCTTTTCTTGCAAATTGAGTTTTTCTCTCGCTCCCGCTCCTGGCCTAGTGGATAGCGCTAGTTCGTGTGTACACAGAGGGAAGAGAGTGCTGAACTCTTCTCGCATAAAAAATCGAAGGCAAAGTACCGCAGGAGGGGAGGGTAGAGAGGGGTCTTCTGTGTGACGAGGGGTTGGAGTAAACGGCACTAGTGCTGTGAGATCTGATCTGAAGTGAAAATGAAAAAAAAAAAAACACTCCCACTGACTGCACACTTCGACAATACACAAGACCTCTCCATATCTGCCCATTTTTCCCGAGCTAACGAAGTGAAGGTGATGAGACAACTGTGACAACGCAATGGCAATCAACCACGTGCTTGAGCATCTCATTTCTGCCACGTGTCGCGTATCGATCATTTTTAACCCAAAGCAATCTCTCTGGTATTTGCCTTGAGCGCTGGAAGAGCGGCTTGCGGTGCGAGGAACGCCATTTTGCCTTGCGAAATAGTGTGCTGCTTCGCCTACCCCGCACGACTCCGCGCTCTCCACGCTGGCCAAATGATAGCTCCGAATATGGTAGCGGCGCCGTCAGCCCCCTGCCCTTCGCACTGCCAACTTGTGCCGTGGTATCTAGCTCTAGCTCTAGGTCGTGTCGTTGTCGGAGGGGTTCGGCCCCCCTCCATGTACATGCTGCACAACTTTCAACAACCTCGTCATTCGCGTCCTTTTAGGCTTCGGCGCGCTCTTCCTTTGCGCACTAAATAATATTTCTGAGTGCGCTTCCTTCTGGTCAAGAAGCTTCAAAACCTTGAGCTTCTAGCCAAAGTACACTCACGCGCCGCATGGTGTACGTCTTTATTTTTAGCATCGACCGCGCTAACCGGCTGATCAATGAAAATACGTCGTCGTCAGTCTGAGCGCGGTTGAAAATACAAAACACTTATTAATATGTCATTAACTGGGACCCCGTGAGGGGGCGGCGTGGGGCAGGCAAAAGCTATTCCCCCGGATTAAGGACAGAAACGGTAGCAACAGAGGAAAACTGCTACCTTGCACTCGAGTTAGTCTTGGAGTGCTTTCACCATCATCCTCCTTGCTTTCACCACCATCACTCTCATCGTCGTTTTGCCAGTAATTTTTCGGCAGTTCTTCTCTAGCCCTGCGTCGTTTGGTGTGTGTGTGTTTCTCGCTGTGTCCATAGACCAGCTAACAGGCTGACCCATGTCGCTGTGCTGTGAGTATGTGCAAACGAAGCGCGCACTAGGTCCCCGCATCAATCGAACCGATAACCACTATTGGTGGCTGAAAAGGTGTCCAATAACCGCTACTGAGGGCACGACCGGTTTAACCGCTAAACAGGGGTGTAGCCGTGTCGCGAGATTTTATGACCGCTATTCAGGGTATCCCGCTTAACAGGGAACCGCTAAACCGGGCCCACGACTGTATGCCATACGGAGCACTACATGTAGTGTACTTGCAGATGTTATTGCGCCGCATTCGGGAGAATCACACACAGGAGAACTGCAACCAAGCGAACCAGCACTGCTGTGTTTTCTCGGTGCATCTCACTCGTTCCACCCTACCAGCCAACAGTAAGCAGCAACACACACCACCGCGCATACAGTATGGCAATAGGAGTGAACGCTACGTTGTTGTTGACTTCACATTAAACCGTATGCCAGTTGCTAAATGCCAAAATCTAGCAAAGACTCTCAGCCCGTGGTCACGAAAGTGCTAGAGCCATCTGAGGATCTAAAGAACACGCACACGTAGCAAGAAAAAGGTATCCAAGAGCCCGAAGAGGTACTACTACACCTATATATAATCCCTGCAGCACCGTACGCGTGCCCAAAACTGAACTACACGTCCGTCTCACCGTTCGACTACAG